CCCCAACTCTCTGCTTTTTTGTTTGTATGAGCTTCTCAGGTCTCCCCTTCCAAGGAGACACCTTCATTGTGGGGACTTGTAGAACATTCTAGGCTACTTCTCCCCTGGGTTTGGCAGTGACAGTCTCAGATGGGAAGGGGTCCTAGGTCATCGTCCGGAGTTCTGCATTTGGGTGGCAGAATTTCAGTGTGACTTAGAAGGGATGTGTTGTGTTTCAGAGGTGCATGTTTTAACCAAATGGATTGTTTTAGGAGCGTGAGGTTGTATGAACGTGAGCGAAGGCAGAAGCCCCGAGTCCACTGGAAGACTGTCCCTCTCGCGAGTGTCGTGGGGACTCAATTTCCAGGTTAAACTGGAACCGTGATTCTTACCTGTCCTGTCACTGTGGATCCTTTGCCTGCTTGGGTGAAGCATGTTCAGAGCCGTGGCTTCCTGTGGCCCTTCGCGTGGGCGGAGCTTTGCAAAGCAGATGGGGAACCCGCAGCCTGTGGGGTTCAGGGTTTCTGTCAAAATCACAGCTGAGCCCAGGCTGGACCTCGGTGGTTCCACCCCCAGGTCAGGCTTTGCTGGCCGGCGTTGTTCTGCACGAGGCAAACGGGCCGTGGCCTGAGGTGGGCGTGATCTCTGAATTAGGAGTAGCTCAGTAATGGGTTTTATATTCAGTGATGGGCTAATTACTTACAAAGGTAAATGCAGTCACGGTTTGTGTCCCCTCAGTCTACCTTGAGACCAAATATGAGTCTTCTGTTGTTCGGTTCAACTCATTCTTAGCCGTGCCTGTGTGCCTCTCTGTCTGTATGCCATCGGCCGGCACTTTGCCTTACCCTCCCTCCCTCCCACCTTCCGATCTACCCAGCTACCTGCCCATCCGCCGTCCTGCCTGTCTGTGTGGCCGTCTGTCCTGTAGGAGTTGAGGAGACACATCTGGTCTTCCCCCGGGGCAGCTGCTGTCCCTTCACGGGGCTGGTCACTTAGTAGGTCTGTGAATGTTCGTTTCACTGCGTCTGTGTCCGGGGGCACCGTGACTGTCTCTCGCTGAGAAAAGAGTCTCGTGGGCTTTGTGCCTGTGCAGGGGGCCTGGGGACATGGGAGTGAGCAATGGCTTCATGGTTCATTTTAGAAATTACTTTTATGATTATATGATAATGAAGGCATTGTGTAGGTTTTTAAAAATACTGAAAAAAAAAACCATGTTGTTGTTCAGTTGCTCAGTCGTGTCTAACTCTTTGCCAGGCTTCCCTGTCCTTCACCATCTCCCAGAGTTTGCTCAAAGTCATGTCCATTGAGTCGGTGATGCCATCCAACCATCTCATCCTCTGTCACCCCCTTCTCCTCCTGACTTCAATCTTTCCCAGAATCAGGGTCTTTTCAAATAAGTTAAGGTGGCCATCAGGTGGCCAAAGTATTGGAGCTTTAGCTTTAGCATCAGTCCCTCTGATAAATATTCAGGACTGATTTCTTTTAGGATTGACTGGTTTGATCTCCTTGCAGTCCAAGGGACTCGCAAGGGTCTTCTCCAACACCACAGTTCAAAACCATCAGTTCTTTGGTGCTCAGCCTTCGTTATGGTCCAACTCTAATATTCATACATGTTTACTGGAAAAATCATAGCTTTGACTAGACAGACCTTTGTTGGCAAAGTAATGTCTCTGCTTTTAATACGCTGTCTATGTTTGTCAAACAATAATAAAGGAAATAAAACCCATTTCTAGCTAAATCCCCTGGAGAAACTCTGACTGTGGGCCAAGCACTGCTCTATCGTAAGATGTGGCATCTGATCCTCCCAGAGCCCCACGAGGTGCCGGTCCTACTTTGATTCCCGTCGTATTAGTGTAGGAGGGCTTCCCGGGTGGCTCATTGGTAAAGAATCTGCCTGCCTGCCAGGAGATGCAGGTTCGATCCCTGGGTCAGGAAGACCCCCTGGAGGAGGAAATGGCAATCCACTGCAGTATTCTTGCCTGGGAAATCCCATCGACAGAGGAGCCTGGTGGGCTACAGTCCTTGGGATGGCCAAGAGTCAGACGTGACTTGGAGACTAAACAACAATAACAGAGGTGTGGAAACTGAGGCCCGGAAGGTTTGGGACACATGCTGGAGGTGGCCCAGGCCAGAGCTGGCAGCGCTGCCCCTCTGGGAGGTTCTCACCAGGCTCCCATCCTTCTGAGGTCCTGACTGCGCCCCTGAACCTGGGCTGGAGCACATTCCCAGCTGCAGGGGTTGGCAGCTGCCCTGTGCCCGCACAGTGTCCTGCCGCCTGCCTTCCAGCCACCGGGCCTCACTCCACATCCAGACGGACGGGAAGCCTTGTAGTTGGTGTCCTCCCCCTGGGTTTGTAGGCACCTCCCATGCTCACGGCCGAGAACCTGCCTTTCAAAGCATGTCCTGGTCATTCCTGGAGCCAGAATTCCATCAGGCAGTTTGTAGGTTAGAGGGGATACTGTCTTTAGAGTCACCTCCAAAATGAGAGAGACTGGTCCCCTGTGAGGTTATACTCATGGAGGTTCCGGTGCATTTTTTAAAACTTAGAAGATTTCAAAATGCCAAAACAGAAGTATTTTCAAAGAACCAGGCTGTCAGGCGATTGCCGTTCCCAAGCGTGCTGGAGGCGGGATCACGATACCCAGTTATAGACAGTGCAGTCCTGTGGGGCCGCATGAGTGAGCTGGTTGACGAGCATCTCCTTGGTGCTCCCATCCACCCACGTGGGGTCTGAGCTGGGGGTCTCTCCTGACCTCGCCAGGGTGGGTGCTGGCTGGATCTGAGTGTGCCAAGTCTGCTATGTCGGTCGACGAGGGTCTCTGAAATTCTTATGACACGGTTACGGGTCACTCAGTGACCCTGGATGGCGTCCAAGGGCTGAGGTCCCGTCTCGTGCAGGAGACACGCAGCCCCCGACGGGGTGTCTGCTCCCCTCCACCCGCCTGCGTGCCCAACGCTGCCCCCGGGGGGCGGCCAGGCCAGAGGGCTCTGTGATGTGGAGTGTCACCATCTACCAGCACCTCCCTCTTAGACAGCGGTCTCAGTGTAAAGTGACATTGAGGTTGTCAGCTATGAAAACAGTGCTGCATAAACAAAAAATTTCTCCTTTGGACCGCCTGGCTGTGGCACTGGCCAAGTGCAGACCGTCAGTAAGAAAGGAAAACCCGAATCGTTTGGAAGGTTGACCTTGCCCTGGGCACCGTCAGCGCGGATGTGCGCTCATATCACACACGAGGAGCTGCTGTAGAGACTTGACTTTGGAGGGTGGTTGCTGGCGGCTCCTGACGACCCCATCCTTACGCCCTTCCCAGGTCACCCTCACCCACACCCTCCTGCAGTGTCCTTTCTCTGCCGGGTGTGGCTGGGCTGAGGCAGCGAGGGCCTGGCCCCCTCCCTCTCCCGTCTCCGGTGGATGGGGGTCTCTGAGTCTTTCTTTCTGCCCATCAGCCCTGTGTCTACACTGCTGCCCATGATCACAGCCGGTCTGGATTCCCAGACACCCTCTCCAAGTCCTGATTTTCTTGCCTTGCTGATGTTTTTTGTGTAGGGAATGTCCCCACTGTCGCCACGGTCCTTTAGTCGTCCCAGAAAACTCCTTTGTTTAAATATCTCTGCATGAGAGGGCGCCTCTGGTAGATTTTCAGCAGGGATGTGTCTGTGGCATTTGTGAGCGTCATACCATTTCCCTCGGAAGAGAACACATAAGTTGTGTGTTCACACACTCTGGGGTGTGTCTACCTGCTGCAGACAAGTTACAAGGAGCAGGTTAAACCCATGGGTCTCACCACGAAAAGTCAAGGCACAGAGGGATTCCAGCAGTGCATTTTAAAAGCCCCCCAAACAAAGCCCGTTTGCCGATAGATCAGTGTCGGAATTACAAATAGAAGGGAGTCGTCAGTCTGAATTTGTGATGAAGTTGCCTTTTCTCAGGGTGCAGGGTGATGTGCTGGTGACAGGTGGTCTGAAGGGAATTCTGCCCCCAGGTGATAACCCGCTTCTCTTACTCTCGAAACTTGCTCGAGGCTAGCATGACTCATTATTAACTATCAGTGTTTCAGGGGAGCCTGCGTGTTGTCATATTACTCTTTGCCCTTCACTGTAAGTTAAGAGCCTCCCCAGGGCCATGCAGTCTGCTCGACAGGGGTGATGCGGGAACTCGAGGGGCGGTGAGCAGAGCTGTCTGATAACAGAGGCTCGTCCTCGGCCACAGCCACTGCGGACTGGCCCACCTGGCCAGTGTGGGGCTCCTTCCTGACCCCTGTCCCCACGCAGGCGGACTCCAGCCTTCTGTCCCGGGCTTTGTAGATTGGTCCTTGTTTGCGTTGGTCCCCTCCCATCGTGATGACTGTCGGGGTCTCTGTGCTGGCTCAGTGGAGACCCCTGGGGGGCACGAGCCTGTGTCTTAACCCACGTTTGTTTCCCTTCAGCTCAGCCCCTGGCGTCTCCCAAGGTGCCTGTAGATGCTGTGAAACTGACATGAGAAAGGCAGGTGTCTGCCTTTCCAGTCTTTTAATTTTGTTTTTATTTATTTATTTTTTACTTTCTGGCTGCACCCTGCCTCACGTGGGATCTTAGTTCCCCGACCAATGATTGAACCCGCGACCCCAGCAGTGGAAGCGTGGAGTCTTAACCACTGGACCGCCAGGGAAACCCCTTCCTCTGCATCGTTACCTGCAGCCCTGACGGATGTCTCCTCCTGTAGGGAGGTGTCGGCTGGGGCTGCGGGATTCTCTGTGCTGCGGGCAGAGGCCGCTTCCCAGACGCAGGGCCCACGAGGCGATGAGGTTGAATGTTGCCTCTGCCCCCGTTGTAGTTTTGCACGTGACCCCAAGAGTCACCGCCGTCGCCTCTAGGGTTGCCAGAGCCAGGCTGGAACTGCGTGGACGGTTTGGGTCAGCAGGTGGGTGGGGACCGTGTTACTTTGGGGGAGTCAGTTAGTCAAACTCTTTGGGATGTTTGAACTTGGCCGCGGGGGTGACATGACTGGGCTAGTTCTAACGCGCGTGTGTTTGGGCCCCTAGAGACTCCCCTGACCTTGGCTGCTCAGCTGGACGACCCCGTGGAGATGATCAAGGCCCTCCGGAACGGCGGGGCCCACCTGGACTTCCGCGCCAGGGATGGCATGACAGCCCTGCACAAAGCCGCCCGCACCAGGAACCTGCTGGCCCTGAAGGTAACACAGGGCCCATCTCACACGGGGACCCCCCCTCGTCTGAACCCCTGCGTCTGCCCTGAACCCCTTCCTGCCCCACAACAGCCACCCCAGGGTGACCCCAAAGTTGGGTTCTCACTGGAGCTTGGAAGTGCAAGCTGATCACAAAAAGTCCTCTTTCCCTTCCCTTTCAGCTGAAGGGCTCGTATTTTCAGCTCAGACCCACTGCCTCCCTAGAAAGGTGGGTTTGAGCTGAAAACACGAGCCCTTCGGCTGAAACAGAAGGGCTGCAAATCCAGCCCGAGGCCGCTGAGCCAGTCTCGCTGCTGCCGCCCCTTTCCTGGACACTGGGAGCCGATGCTGGCGGGGCAGGGGGTGCGCCTCAGCCCCATCTCACTCCCCACACTGTTACTCAAGCACGCTCTACCAGCCCAGGCTCTGCCGTGCCGAGGAGCGCGGGACAGCGGGCTCAGGCCCCCGGCCCGCTCTCTGTCAGGGCGAGGAGGGGAGGGGACCCACTGCTGTTGGGCGGAGGGCCCCCAGATGGTGCTCTTCTATAAAGCAGATTTCTTAACTTCATAGCGGCCACCCTTGTTCAGCTGGCTTCCTTGGAAATCACATGTTTGTGATGACTCTGGCTCATTTCACCCCCTGCAGGATGCGCACAGAGATGGTTTACACTGTACTTTTAAGTTCAACACTACAACTCTTTCCTGCAAATGTCGTCTCTCCCCTTACTCTCCACTGGTCCATGGGGGTCAGCCGGGCAGCAGGTACTGCCCGAGGGTCACCTGTGCAGAACACCTCCATCCCCCGGGTGTGTAAGCGTGTGTGCATGCCTGGCACCAGATGCTGTTTCAGTTCCAGGAGGCCAGGAAAAGTACAGGAACCCAGGGCTAATGGTCACCTGGGCCTGGGAGCAGGGAGCATGACCTTCCTCTTCCTTCTTGATTGCTTCACTCCTGCAGAAGGGGCCATGAGACCAGTGACCTTACATTGGTGTATTTTTTTTTCAGACCCTCTTGGAGCTTGGCGCGTCCCCGGATTACAAGGACAGCTACGGCCTGACCCCGCTGTATCACACGGCAGTGGTTGGGGGCGACCCCTGCTGCTGTGAGCTGCTGCTCCACGAGCACGCGGCCGTGAGCTGCAAGGACGAGAACGGCTGGCACGAGATTCACCAGGTGCGCGGAGCTGCCCTCACCTGCCAGCCGGGCGGACGGGGCTGGGGTGCAGGATGAGCACCCCTCCGTGGGATCCATGGGTGCTCCGGGCGCCCCCCAGCCCGGGCCCCCCTACAGAGCCTGGGACCAGGGGCTTTCTGAGTGTGGGTGACCTAGCGCAAGGGCCTGATGTCCTTGCACGAGGCACAGGTTTCCGAGACACCCCCTGCAGCAGCGGGGCTGGGGGAGTGTCGGCTGCGGTCGTGGAGGAAACAGAATCCACCTCGTGGCTCCGATGAAGCGTCTTTAGTGGACGGAGGACACGGAGAGGAGAGTGTTCGGAGAAGCGGGCAGAGCCTGCAGAGGAGGGCGCCCAGAGCTGGGCAGAGTCAGGGAGGATGTGCAGAAGAGGCACCTGGGTCTCGGTCCTCCCGCCCTCCCATTGGCTGAGTCCCTCCAGAGCCAGCCAATCAGAGCCCGGTGGTGCAGGGGTGGACATGAGGGTCTCCCTGCGGATGGAGGGGAGAGAGGGGCAGGGATATCCCGCCAGGAGGTCATGGAAGAGGCTCTGACGGTCTCACGCTTGCCTTTACATTGCAGTGACTTTCACTGCTTCTCAGTGTCTTTGACTGTCTTTCCCTTCGACACCGTCGCCTTATACACTTGCCCATCTCAGCAGGTTGACGCACCCACCCCCGGCAGGTGGAGGGGTGCGGGGGTGCGGAGATGGGCCCGCCCCAGCCAGGTGCGCCTAGCGTTCAGTTCTGGCGCGTCCGCGCAGTCTGGAGGAGCATCCGGTTCCCTCCTGTGGTGTGAGCTGGGGGCGGCGGGCCTCTGCAACCCTGCTCACCAGGTCTCCATTTGCTCATCTGTGAAGTGGGCTCAGCAGGGCCTCCCACACTCTCAGGCAGTAGAAAGGATGGAACGCTGGCTCTGTCAGGACTCGAGGCTGTTTTACTGGTGAGGCTGAGGGCCCCGTGAGAGGACAGCTGCTTGGCGAAGGAGTCTCGTGTTTCCACACACCTTCGTAAGCAGCTGTGCCCACGGCCCACATGGGGCACCTCCTTCTCTTCCTCCTTCCCTGATTCTCTCTGATTCTATTTGGGAGATGTGAGATTTCTTCCTTGAGCTGTCAGTACAGCTTATTCTGGTCTGGGATTGCAGGACACCCCCCCCCCCACCGTCGCCTTATACACCTGCATACACTTATACACATATACACTTATACACCTTATACAGGTGGCCTGGGCCACCTGAGCAAGTGTTTTAGCCTCTCTGAACTTCTTTGCTACATCTCTAAAGTTAGCTGAGTAACAATTCAAAGAGCTCTTGAGACAGTTAAATGACACAGTTATAGTGCCTGGCATCTAGTAAGTGCTCAGTAAGTGCTGGCCACGCCCCCATCATCATCATTATCACCTGGCCACGCCCCGTCATCGCATCTTTATGATCTGGCCACGCCCCCGTCATCACTGTCTTTATCTGGCCACACCCCATCGCCATCATTACTTGGCCACGCCCCCATCATCACCATCATTATCACCTGGCCACGCCCCCACTATCCCCATCATCATCTGGCCACGCCCCCATCACTCAGCCTCACCTTATCCTCTTGGCCCTGTCTGGTTCTGTCTCTAAGGAATGATGCTTGACAGAGGGCACCTAACCCGTTTGCTCACAGGCCTTCACACAGATCTCATTTGATTTCTTGCAACAGTTTTCTTAAGGATGTTTACCTTTCAGTCTTAATTTGTATTGGTTGCTGTTTATTATTTATCATTTTCAAATGAGAAGCTTTAGCCTTAAGGAAATTACAGCTTCGGGCCACTGCTCCCTCCTGCCCCTCTTCCTCACAGGGCTGAGCCCTGCTCACCCTCAGACCTGGGCTCCAAGTCCTTGGCGCTTCCCCCGACCCCACAGTAATGGGACAGGCCCCCCGGAGGTTCGCTGGTGGCACTCACAGCCGGGTGTGTTTCTGGGTCTGTGTGGGCGCTGCACGCTGACTGTTCTCCTGTCGTATCCCCAGCTTGTCTTACAAAGCACATGCTGTAGGAGAAACGCCCAAGTGTGATGTGGACTTAGGTAGTCTTGCTTGTGGCACAGACCCAAGCAGAAGCCTTTGCAGTGCGATGAGCTCTGCATTGCTCTAGTTGCATTGCGCAACCCCAGGGGGCGCTGCTCCACGTGCTGTGAATTTAGGCTGTGGCTGTATCACAGCAGGTGCCCAGCAGGTGGCAGTGCGGTGCCCGGAGGAAGGAGCAGTCTGTCTTCCCTCATTTGCACCTGCCATGTGTTTGGCTAGTGGTGGGGGGAGGGGGACGCTCAGCATAGGCGAGGGAATCCCAGATCCCAGATTCTGTGGGGAGTCTCCTCCGAATGCACCGGAGCAGTCTGTCTTCCCTCATTTGCACCTGCCACGTGTTTGGCTAGTGGTGGGGGGAGGGGGACGCTCAGCATAGGCGAGGGAATCCCAGATCCCAGATTCTGTGGGGAGTCTCCTCCGAATGCACCTGCCCAGGAGATCTGCAGGAAGTGGTTGTGCGATGGAGCCCCAGACACATGCATTTTCCAAAAAGCGTCTCAGAAGAAAATAGTTAAGCTACGTGATTGTAGGGGGTGCTGTTTTACATTCTAGTTACCTTCTGACCTCTGTCAATCCTTTCAATCTGTCTCCCAAGGGCCGGAAAGCACAACACCCTTTTCAAATAAAGGACAAAGGGTTAGCACGACTTATCCTGGGGGGAAGACACATTTTTAATGAGCTTTGAGGTCTTTTTGTCAAACAAGTACTAATTTCTCTTCTTTTAAAACTGAGTGAATATTTTAATTTCAAACTTAAAGAGGGCTTGCGAGAGTAAATACAGAGAAACCTTGGTACTCAGAGACCACATCTGAGTTTTTCTCATTGTCCCAGTAATGACAAATACAGTAAAAGGACACGGGGCCTCCCAGATGGTGCTGGTGGTAAAGAACACAC